ACAGATTGGTAGTCCCTTTTTAAAATCATGGCTATCAGCAGCCCGTCGCTAAGAGTATCTTCAGCATTTCTCAGTGCTGTAATTGCCGTTCGGCACGAATAATATAGTCTCATTAGCGGCTTTCTGCAGCGATGTTAGTTCAGTGTAGAGGCTGATCACCCGTGGTGTCCCTTTCCCAGCGTAGTGGTCCCTCAATATTTGTAACGCTTTTCTTCCGTTGTCCGCTGCTTCTCTCATGATCAGTGAAAGGCTTTTATCGTCCAGTACCTGGATCAATTCTGCATAGGCTTCTTCGTTTTTCTGATCATCAGCCTCATCATCTTCACCTGGCTCCTCTAGGATGACAGCCTTCAATCCTAGCAGTCGCAGGTGACCCAAAAACTTTGTCTCCCATAACTCGTAGTTCTTCTCATCTCCGTCGAAACACAAACGGTTCCACCGGCTTCCATGGTCCCTCCTGGGCCCATAACCTGTTAACGATGCCATGATCTTAGGGCAGGAATACCGTGAACATAGTTTAACGTGACAGAGGAATACATACACACATACACCGTCGGCTTTGCTTCAACCGGAAGTGACACGTTTTATTGCGCATGTCCCTTTTATCACGGGAATACAGGAAGTGATTAGTATAAGAGTATTAAGTAACAAATTAATATATTACAATTCATAATTCAACAGTCCTTAATGAGAATAAGTTTTAAGGAGATTAGACCAATAGAAAGGGCCTGCCCATTTAAAATAAGATAAAATGCATCTTTATTGATGCCCCAGGGGAAATTCAGTTTGCCACACGATTGTTTATTTGTATTTTTGTTTTGAATACACAAACAATGGAGTACAAATACACACATGCATTGGAACACAGGTATAGGTGAACATATGCACGCATAACAGGTTTTAATGATGTATCTCCAACGAGGCGTTTTGGGGTATTTTCTGTGTTAGAGTTTTACTCGCTACAGGGTGTACTTTGAGGGTTTGTGACTCTGCAGACCGTTTACATGCATAAAAACCTTCATAACACAGAAGGGGACGGGTAATAACCAGAAAAGCATGACATGGGACCTTTCAAATATGAAACTTAACTAAAATGCTAAACACTTTTATAGATAGGGTGAGATCTTTTGCAACAGCCCATTATACCTTTATTTGTATACACTTTCAGTCTTTAAGAATCAAATGGTGATTCACTTTTTATTTGTACTGGGCCAAAGGCAACAAAACACCCTATTCCCAAAAAACATACAACAGCTGGAATCTTATCCTTGGTGTTTTTCTGGATCATTGTTTTACAAGTAAAACAATCAATAACATCATTAATGGTTTACTGTTGATTGAAATTACTGTAAATATCTGCAAAAATCAAATCACCAGTGTCCAGATTAAAACACCTTTATTAATACATATTTAAAATGCTTCCATCTCACAGTTGAAACGGTGTCAAGCACGCAGTATCTGCAATATCTGCTGAAATGTCATTGAAATGTCACCCTGACTACAACAAACAAACTAAGCAAACATCCAAAGTCATGATGCCCTGTGAGGGTTAAACTACAAAGCAAACTCGATGCAGCCAGGAATCTCTTTTTTTTTTAACTGCCTCAAAAAATATGAATAAGTTAAGACAAAAAAGATCTCAGCCAACACCTAAAGCAAATTACATCAGTACGAAACATTAAAGAAAATAAAGGATCCTTGAAAAGAGAAAATCGAAAGTTTAACGAAAAATCTAAGTTTACTTATTTAAACCTATAAACAATACATTTCTTTTGAGAAATGTTATTCTGTTATATTTTTTACATATACAGCAAAAAACTGAAATATCTTTAAAAAAGTATGATTTATTGTCAGAAAACAAAAAACATCAACTGTTATATAAAATAAACAGCAAACTGTTTGAAACACGATACTTAACTTTTGACTTTGCATATGCTAGAAAAAGATCAGGTGCCCCTAACTTTTAATTCACTGATACACAACCTGTAGCACACCCTCCCAAACCCAAACCAGTGATTTAATAGGAGGATCGAATTGGCTGTATCGATCAAACTTGGCAGGGTTCATATCCTACCTCAGCAATCCAGAAGTGGGAACTATAAAAGACAGGCATTCACTACAAAGATTCACAATCCATCAGCCATGAGAGTGATTGTGCTTGCCCTGACCTTGGCCTTCGTGGGTGAGTATTATCTCTGATTTTGAGAACATTTCACATTTAAAAGAAAATGCAGTTTTTATCAGACACAGCAAATAACTTTGTCAGAGACAAAAAACAAGAAAAAGTGAATTTTGCATAATAGGTGACCTTTAAAACATTTAAACACATTTTATAACTTGAATTTCTGAGATTTCAGTACTACTTCTCTGTCTGATTTTCTTTAGCATCAAATTGCCTTCTTCATTTGATCATATTCATTATATGCCATTGTATATTTGATGCTTGTATGTTACACTGCAGGCTTACTGGTTGATAGTTCCAGTGATCCTGCTTTTTTTTTAATTTAGGATGTGAGAGATTGCTATATTATAATATAAAGTCTAATATAATGTTATATTGAACTTGAAAAAAATCAAGGGACAATAACGTAAAAGACTATCTATTAATATTATAAAGAATAAGAGATTAAAATATCAGTATCAGAGTAACAACATAAGAACACCTGAAATGATCATGTACATTTATAATAATACATAGTATCTGGATGTTTAAATACATTGAAATCAAAATATTTCCTACTTTCAACCCTACCTTAAAATGTATTGCTGTTATTATATTATATGAACAATAAAAACAATTGCATTTTAAATTAGTAGATTTAATAGTTTCACAATGTTCTTGCTGGATTATTAATATATTTTTTATATCTGATTTCAGCTGCTCAGCCCCATAACTATGGTAAGTTAATTCATTTATTATTATCAGTAAAATACAGCTTCAACCTATAAATACCTGGATGCACAATGCATTGCAACATTCACCACAACTACATTTCCACAGGAATAGTTGTGGTAAAATACAATCTACTTGATAAATTATGGTTAATATGAAGTGATATAAATTGTTCTTACAGCTCCTGATTTTGCTGCCGGTGAGACTTATGTCTACAAATATGAGGCACTGCTCCTGGGCGGTCTTCCGGATCAAGGTTTGGCAAGAGCCGGACTCAAAATCAGCAGCAAAGTTCTCATCAGTGCAACAGGTCAAAATACATTCATGCTGAAGGTAAACAATAAAATCAGTTGCACGCAACAATCCTCTCAGTTTTAAAATGTTATTTGTCCTGTAATAAATCATATTCTTACACTCTAGCTTGCTGAACCAGAGATCGCTGAGTTCAGTGGTGTCTGGCCCAAGGATCCTTTAGTCCCAGCACCAAAGGTGATCGCAGCCCTGGCCGCTCAGCTCTCGACTCCCGTCAAGTTTGAGTATGCCAATGGTGTTGTTGGAAAAATCTTTGCCCCTGAGGGAATCTCAACAATGGTGCTGAACGTCTACAGAGGTATCCTGAATGTTCTTCAGCTCAACATCAAGAGGACACAGAATGTCTATGAGATGCAGGAGGTTTGTCAAAGATCCTTCAGAACTGATACGAAATCCATTGTAGGAAGTTGAATCTCTCTAGTAAACGTACACTCTTCTTTTAAGGCTGGAGCTCAGGGTGTGTGCAAGACCCTTTATGCCATCAGTGAAGACGAAAGGGCTGAACGCATCCATTTGACTAAGACCAGGGATCTGAACCACTGTCAGGAGAGGGTGATGATGGATATAGGATTGGCATACACTGAGAAATGTGTAAAGTGTCAGCAGGTAGGTTAAAACTAATTTCGTGTCACGCATTCATCTATAAAAGTAGAAAACGTTGCATTACTGAGCAACTATGTGGTTTGTCTTCACAGGATTCAAAGAACCTGAGAGGAGCTACAGCATACAATTATGTCTTGAAGCCAGTTGCTAACGGCATCCTGATCCTGGAGGCAACAGTCAATGAAGTGATCCAGTTCTCACCTTTCACTGAAATGAATGGAGCTGCTCAGATGGAGACAAAGTAAGTCAGCTGATAGTGTACTAAGAAGGATAGATTAATGGCCACGTTTTTGTTCTAATGGAGCTGCATTACTTTCAAGGCAATCCTTGGTCTTCCTTGAGACTCAGAGAGCCCCTATTGTACCCATCGCGGTTCAGTATCTTCACCGTGGATCTCTCAAGTACGAGTTCTCCAATGAGCTTCTTCAGACACCCATTCAGCTCATCAAGATCACCAACGTCAAGGCTCAGGTAAAGTCTCAGACTGCTTTAGAATATATTAAATACATATCTGAATCTATTCTATATATAACTAATCCACCTTCAATTACCTGTTCTTAGATTGTGGAGGCTCTGAATCATCTGGTTGCCCACAACGTTGAGAGAGTCCATGAAGATGCACCTCTGAAGTTTTTGGAACTCATTCAGCTCCTCCGTAATGCACGTTTTGAAGACCTGGAAATGCTCTGGAGCCAATACAGAACCAAACCTGCCTACAGGTGACTTTAAGTGTTTGAACATTTTAATTAAATTTAAGAAAATATATGGAAACAGGTTCACTCAATCCATTGTCCTATTCCAGACAGTGGATCCTGGATGCAATCCCTGCCACTGGAACTCCTTCCGCTCTGAGATTCATCAAGGAGAAATACATGATTGGTGACTTGTCTGTTGCTGAAACTGCTCAGGCTTTGATTGCATCTGTTCACATGGTGACAGCAAACACTGAGGCCATCAAGATCATCCAGGTAAGTACCTGACAAAGCAAAATACTTTGTTGTAATAAGAATTGAGGTATGAAACATTTCTTTCTTTTAGGCAATGGCAGTCAACAACAAGATAGTGCAAAACCCAATTCTGCGTGAGATCGTCCTCCTTGGATATGGTACCATGATTGCAAAACACTGTGTTGAGATGGCTGTCTGCCCTGCTGAACTTATTAAGGTGAAAAAAATGATGTCTTGACACATTACTCTTCTGCACATTTCTAAATGATGAAGCAAGTTCTAAATGTCTCCTTTCCCTTTCATCAGCCCATCCAAGAGCTCCTTGCAGAGGCTGTTGCTAAAGATGAGATCAAGGACATCATCCTGCTCATGAAGGTTTTGGGAAACGCTGCCCATCCTACTAGCCTTAAGCCCATCACAAAGGTCCTGCCCATTCATGGCACTGCAGCTGCATCTCTGCCCATGAGAGTCCACGCTGATGCCATCCTGGCCCTGAGGAACATTGCAAAGAAGGAGCCTAGAGCGGTAAATACTAAATACCAAACAGAATTTAAAATGTTCTAGTTTTTACACATAGCATGAAAATGACTTTGCTTTCTCGTGTAAAACAGGTTCAAGAATTGGCCATTCAGCTTTACATGGACAAGGCTCTTCACCCAGAGCTTCGTATGCTTGCATGCATTGTGCTGTTTGAGACAAGGCCTCCAATGGGTTTGGTGACAACTCTTGCCAATATTGTGAAGACAGAACAGAATATGCAGGTAGCAAGCTTCACTTATTCTCACATGAAGTCCCTGACGAGGAGCACTATCCATGCCACAGTGTAAGAGCACTTTCTGATCCCAATTCATCATCAAGTGTTAGCCATTAATTATGTTACTCAGCTACTCTCTCTGGTGTCATTTTAGTACTGCAGCTTGCAACGTCGCCATAAAGCTCTTGAGCCCAAGGCTAGACAGAATGAGCCTACGTTTCAGCAAATCCATCTACATGGATGTCTATAACAGTAAGGCTCATCTCATATGCTATGTCTCACCCCCCTTATACCCCATTTTTTCGGGAACATCAACTAACTGCATTTTGTCAAACATTTACAGATCCCTTAATGCTCGGTGCTGCTGCCAGTGCTTTCTACATCAATGATGCTGCCACCATTCTGCCCAGATCCTTGATGGCTAAAACCACTGCCTACCTTGCTGGAGCTGCTGCTGATATTCTGGAGGTAAAAAAAGAAAAAAACATAGCCTCTAAGCTACATACTTGGTCTTTTAATACAAATTAAAAAAAAACTTTTCAACATTTTTCCTAGGTTAGAGTTAGAACTGAGGGACTCCAGGAGGTTCTTCTGAAAAACCCTGAACTCGTTGACAATGTTGACAGGATCACCAAGATGAAGCGTGTTATTAAGGCTGTAAGCAATTAAACATCAGGAAGTTGCAAATATTTAATAGCAAACATGGAACCTAAAAAAACATAACACACCAGACTTGTCTTTTTACAGCTTGCTCAGTGGAAGGCTCAGCCCAACAGTGCACCTCTGGCATCCGTCTATGTCAAATTCTTCGGACAAGAAATTGCCTTCGCCGACATCGACAAAGTTTTGATTGATCAGGCCATTGCGGTATGTTTCAAATGACTATTTGTCAATCTCAAGATCACGTTTCCAAACCAATTGTTTATCACAATAACTATGATAATTGTTTCCCTACAGCTTGCCACTGCACCCTCTATGAAGGAAATGGGTATGAACGCTCTCAAGGCTCTGCTGGCTGGTATTTCCATGAACTTCGCTAAGCCCTTGCTTGTCAATGAAGTGAGGCGTATCCTGCCAACTGCTGCAGGTCTTCCAATGGAGCTCAGTCTTTACACCGCTGTCGTGGCTGCTGCATCTGTTCAAGGTGATCAAGTCCCACATATTTACTCAAGTCTTGTTTGCCAATCAAAAAAGGTGCTGATTTGCTCTAGATTGAAAACATTTTTAATTCCTGATACAGCCATAAAAAGTCAAGGTTATCTTGGGTCCAATTATAGTGGTGTTAAACCTTTTTATTTGTTTTCTCAGTCAAGGCCATCACAACACCAACTCTGCCAGAAAACTTCCATCTTGCTCACCTTCTGAAAACTGACATACAGCTTGAGACTGAGATCAAACCAAGGTAGGTTCAATCTAACTTTTTTTAAAGTAGCGCATCCAAAATATAACATATTATACTGTATAACATCCCAATGTCCTCTTCTTCCAGCATTGCTTTGAACACATTTGCTGTGATGGGAATAAACGCCCTCTTACTCCAGGCTAATGTGATGTCAAGAGCTAAACTCAACTCCATTCTCCCAGCCAAAATCACCGCAAGACTCGACCTCACCGAGGGCCACTTTAAGATTGAAGCTCTGCCCGTTTCTGTGCCTGAAAACATTGCAACTCTTCAGTAAGCCCAACATTTTGAGCTTAATGTATACCCTGGAAAATATTAAAGTCCTGTCACTCCTAGGATGTATTTATCTAAGAAATATATTTGATTACGTTTTTGTTTTTCAATCAACAGAGTTGAGGCTTTAGCTGTGTCAAGAAATATGGAGGATCTTACTGCTGAAAGAATCACCCCCATCATCCCTGCCAAACTCGTGCAGCCCTTTTCTAAGCTTGTTTCATCTGCTTCTGCTAGTTTGGTGAGCTTTAAACATTGTCTTTAATGATACCAAAACAAATATCTACATTTACAACATAGTTAACATTTCTTTCTTTTCATAGTCAAAGTCTTCAGAGATCCTTAGCCAGGAGGTTGAAGCCCCCATCATTACACCCAAAGCAGTGCAGTTTGAGAAGAAGTATTGTGTTAAAGCTGTTGCCCTTGGACTGAAGGGATGTTTGAGGGTTGCCACTGAGAATGCCGCTTCCCTCCAGGCTGCTATTTTGTACAAACTGGTTGGAAAGCACTCTGCTGCTCTCTCCTTAAAACCAAGTAAGTATTATAGAATCATTCCTTACAGCGTTTTGTAGAAGCAGTGTGCATAAAGCAATCGTTAATATATGATCTAATGATACTTTCAGTTGAAGGAGAGGCCATTGAGCGACTGGAACTTAAGGTTCAGATTGGACCAAAGGCTGCAGACATACTTGTTAAACAGATCAACCTGAGCGAAGACATTATTGAAGAACAACCACTTATGATGAAGCTGAAGAAACTCCTGGTCCCTGATCAGAAGGTCAAATCATCTTCCTCTTCTAGCTCCAGCAGCTCTCGCTCAAGCCATAGCTCCAGCAGCTCTCGCTCAAGCCCTAGCTCCAGCTCCAGTTCCAGCTCCAGCTCCTCCTCTCGTGTTGCCAGCAAGGCCCTTGATGCAGCTGATCCAGCCAAAAGACTTCGCAGCAGCAGCAGCAGCAGCAGGGCCTCCAGATCTGTGAGCAAAACCAGCTCGGCATCTAGCCTTGCATCACTCTTTAGTGCTAGCTCAAGCTCCTCCAGCTCCAGTGCTCGTCTCTCAAAGGTAAACATGGTAGAATCTAAAGGTGACTACATATGAAAGTAAGTCTGGAATCTAACAAAATGTTTCTTTTAAACAGCGACTGATTGCTCGCAAGTTCCAGAAGAACCACAAGTTGCAGGTATGTTTGGATGGTGCTTCAAACCATGACAATATATTGTACAGTTTGAACATGTTAACTTCTGTTGAAGCTTTCTCATGGTGGACTTCTGTACATTATCATTGCAGACTCTCACCTCTCAAGCATCTGCCGTTTCCACAAGCAGAAGTAGTGCCTCAAGCTTTGAGGCCATCACCACACAGGTAAATCTTGGTCATATATTAAATTAGACAATCCTCCTCCTTTTGATTTACTGATTGGTTTGTTGTTGTACTCACATTATTCAACCCTGATTGATCCCACAGAACAAATTCCTTGCCAAACATCTTGCTCCTATCTTTGCAATCATCGCCCGTGTCATCAAAGTTGACAAGAGGGAGATTGGATACGAACTGGCAGGCTACTTGGACAGACCTACCTCCAGACTTCAGATTGTTCTGGCTGCCTTGGCTGCCGATGACAACTGGAAGCTCTGTGCTGATGGAGTTCTTCTTAGCAAACACAAAGCCACAGTAAGACACTTGCTTATTGGATAGATAATAGGGCATAATATAAAAAGGTAACTGTTAAAACCAGCTGCCTTAACTTCACATCTGCTGTTTCTGAATAGGCTCAAATCGCCTGGGGAGCAGAATGCAAGCAGTACGACACAATGATCACAGCCGAGACAGGTCTTCTTGGAAAAAGCCCTGCAGCTCGCCTCAGAGCGACCTGGAAAGACCTGCCTTCTGCCCTTAAACGCTATGCAAAGAAGTATGAACCCTCATACACACTGCCTTTACACTATTCACATGCAATATACACTATTTTAAATATCTGATATGTGGAAAATCATTCACAGGGTTTATGACTACATTCCTGCACTAGCTGGCGTGATCAAAGGAAAGGATGAAACGAGCGTCAATCAGCTATCCTTAACAGTGGTTGCCACATCTGCCAAAATCATTGAACTCATTTGGAAAGCACCAACAGTAAGAATAATTCTGATGTATTCATGGGCGTCGCAGCCATTATATGAGGGGGGGACAAGTCCCCCCCACTTTTTGAAATGATTAGTTTAGACCCCCCCACTTTTACTATGTGGAAAGTCCGTGAATCGGTCTATCCACTCGCCGCACTTTGTAGAGCGCTGTGTCAGTGCTTCTCTATCAAATCCATTCCACTTGCTTATTGAGAGAATGCCCAAATCAATGAAACTCCGTACCATGTTTTCACTGGTACTTTGTACCAAGGCAGATTCTCCCATAGCGCGCGCATGTTCAAGGAGTGTTGTCATAGTTGGACAGCTCAGATCTGTTGTATGAAGCGATGCCGGTAGCGGAGGTAAGGCACACACACCAAATGTTCAGGGGCCTCATTTATAACGCCTTGCGTAGGATTCACGTGGAAAGGTTGCATACGTAGTAGAAATCCAAAAAATAGGTACAGAAATGTTCCGATTCACAAAACATTGCATACCGGCGAGGAAAGTGCGTACGGCACTTCCTAAGCCGGTTTCCCTTTATAAATCACAACCGACTCGAAATGCGGTGCAGCTGCGGGCTTCACGTAACGCCCATATTTGCCTATAAATAGTCAAAGAAAGGCTCCTTCATTCATTCATTTGCACTGACTTTATGAAGAAGATCGCAGGAAATGACGACAGAACAGCTAAAAAAAACATCTCACACCGTGTCAGATTTTGATTATTTTGGGGAGGTCGAGATAAATCATATTGTTTGGTGGATGCAGTTTGAACCAGAGTAGCAGCATGGAGG